CGGCATTCAAAACTAGTGCACTTTACATGATATAATAATAACTCTTTGAGCGTTGAGTAAGGAAGTGAGATAGGTTTCTCCGTATATGCCAAAGTTTTTAATATGCTGTACCCTTCTCTTCCTATGAATGTCAGGAAATGTGCCAAAATCTTATCATCTTTAACATATTTCTTGGTAATGCTGCAGATTTCAAACCTTTCCAAATGATCCTCAAATGCTTCAGAAGTTGAATGAATATCTAACTGTTCCATCACAAGCTCCATCGCGACGCCAATATGATAATTAGAAGTATTTGAATTATAGCATGAACTAATAATCCCAGAAATAACGTAAGTGGATCAACAACTACTAGATAAGCATGAAAGAATGTACTGTATTAAAAATTCGAAATCAGGCATTCTTCAACAACCAAAAAGTCACTAGTTCATTCAGACACCACATGAATGTAGTCATATGTGTTACTGATGTTTTAAATGCGCGTGACTTTGATGTGTATTGTGAGCGAAATCAATCTGGCTTTCTTCATGTGTAGTTGTGCTCAATTCCACCTAAATCAATTAAGTTTATTACATTATAAGTCTAGGTAAAAGATAACACTACTACTTAATCTCATGAAGTAGCATGAGATGAAATTGCCAATTTCTCAATCTGCTCCGACTTGATACTGAGTTCCGTTTGATTTATTAGCTTTACTAGCTTTTTACCAACGTACTCTATGAGAGAGTTTGTAGTCAATTTTTCAATTTGAGATACTCAATTCCTTCTTCTAGATGTTTACATCCTTCCATTGATCTCTACAACAGCTAGCTCTATCATTTCACAGTCCTCAAACAGTATTTCTTATTTTACTCGGTCTGTCAACTAATCACCTTCATTCAGCTATAGTGTTAGGTGTTTCCGGATATACTAGTAGCTGAATATTGTTTTAAGCATTAGTGATTCTGTACTGATTGTTTGAATTTTACGATTCTCATATTGGAGATTGTAGTGTCTGCCTGTACTAATAATAAACCAGAGAAATCATTGTGATAATAGAGCATGATGGAAACGGAGGTCAATCGCAATCGACACAAAAAAGATGAAATTGTGTGACATAAATGTGATCAACTCATTGTTCATGTTGGAGTCGTTAGATCTCCAGAACTCTCTTGGTAAATGCCTAAATTTCGGATTTCGTGTTTGCGAGCATGAGCTGATCCGTTGACCTTGAGATTTCATTTCACATCAGGAAAGTCCGTTGCTGTGATTCGCTGCTGTGTATTTTAGTGTGCTGTTTTTGTGACTTTCCAAAGCACGTTTCTGTGATGTATAAATAAACGAGATTTTTGTGCTTGATTGCATTGTGCCTGCTGGGTAATGTAGAACATACTTTCTACCCCTGATAAAGACTTTTCATCATTCAAATATTCAGGGTAGCCTACCTGGACTCTAGTTCATTGTGTCATTCTAGTTTATCGACTAAAGTGAACCCGTAATAGCTTCAAGCATAATTGTTGACAAACCTGACAGTTCACTTTGTCAAACGTCAGTAATCGGTGATATGAAACGACCCACAGGATGATAGATCGGACTTTGATTAGAATGAATTCAGCTATTCTGTGTAGGTTCACACAACTCATTTAATATGTATGCGTTGAGATCTGCAAAGAAAGTAGGAACAAGAATGCAGAAATCACAGTCAAAAAGTGAAGAAAGCCAAGGCACAAGCTGTGTACACAGAAACAAACAAGCAGGTGAAGTGAAGAAGACAAACCTAAATATGTGTAAGATCTAGCAATGATAGTGATTGAGGCAGCAAGGGAAGGAAACGTGAGACAAGTGTATGATACAACAAAGAAGCTCGCTGCAAACCATAGCAAATTAGAAGGAGCAGTGAAAAGTAAGGAAGGCAAAGCAATCAGCAACATTGAAGCACAGCTAAACAACTAGATAGAGCACTGTAAGGAGCCCTTGATCCGATAAGCTCCAGCGAACACTCTCATCATCGAAGCAGCATCTATGGACTCCCCAATCAATGTTGACACATCAACAATTGAAGAGACTAATATTACCATCAGACAAATCAATGGCAAAGCAGTGGGACTAGACAAAATTCCGGCAGAGGCATTAAAAGCAACTGCGAAAATATTCCACATTCCATTCAACAATATTTTGGATGACGAACAAAAACCAACAGACTTGAAAGAAGGATAGCGCGTCGAAATATCAAAGAAAGGAAGTTCTTATGATGGAGTAAACTGGTAAATCGTGCATGAAGGACAGCTCACAGATTCGTTTGATGTGGAGAACGGTGTCGAGGAAGGTTGCATACTCTCAACCATTCTCTTTCTCCTGGTGATCAACTAGTTTACGAAGAACGCAGGATCTTGTGTGGAGCAACATGGGAGACAGTATACAGCCAGGATGCATCTGATCCATCTGATCTAGACTGCGCAGATTATCTGGCTGTTCTATCGCACACGTTACAAAGTGCAAGAGTTGGTTACCTGCGTAACAGCAGCCTTTGCAGCAGTAAGTCTCAACCTAGACAAACAGAAAAGCAAGATTCTCTGATACAACAAAACATGCTCGAAACGAAATCACACTTGATAGAAATGCCTTGGAGGACCTACAAACCTCCACATATCTTAGCAGCATCAACGACGAGCAAGTTGAATCTGATGCATATGTAAAGGCGCGTTTTGGCAAGGCGAGGGCATATTTCTAGAACTGAACAACATCTGGAGCTCATAACAGCTATCAACAAACACCAAAGTCAGAATTTTTAATACCAATGTCAAGAGAGTTCTGCTGTATTGAGCGAAAACTTGGAAAACTACCGAAATTAACATGCAGAACATACAAGTGTTAATTAAAAGTTATTTACGTAAAATACGTCGGATTCGTTGGACAGACACCATCAGTAACAATCTGCTGTGGGAAAGAAGGAACCAGATTACAGTAGCTTAAGAAAGCAGGAAGCGCTGGAAGTGGATAGAATACAGATTGAGGGAAGCATACAACTGCGTCGTCAGACAAGCTCTCACTTAGAATCCTCAAAGCTAATGGAAAAGAGGAACGCCAAGGTAAATATTATGACGGAAAATGGATACGGACATTAGAGGAATGCACAAAAAATATAGTCGAACGGAATGAAAACATCTACGTAATCATCAAGTTTACTTAGAATTATTGACATCATCAGTAGCATATGAGACTTTTGTAATTATTATGTGTTGCCGAGAACATTGCTCAGCTGTTCAGTATAACCGAAAATAAAAAATGAAGCACCACATACAAAATGTCTGATTTCTTCAAACAGGAAACACACAGTCAATGATCAGAACATCGTTCGATTTGACATAATATCTGATAAGTGAATGGTGAACACATTCACGTACTCACATTTCTAGTATCATTAACAGAACAACAAACAAAATGTCTGATTTCGTCAGACATAAAATACAGTCAATAATCAGAACACTGCCACATAGCACAATGATCAGGAAATTGTAGTGTGATTCTGTGCTGATAATATAAACCAGAGAAATCATTGTGATAAGACACCATGATGGAAACCGAGTTCAACTCATTCAGTAGGATTGCGTAGAGATTGTCAACAAGAGAACACAAGTTGATATATTGTGAGTGACTGACACTGAGTTGGTTAATTAATGAATAAGATGAGAATATTTCTGACAAATATTTTCACAATTAGACTATCTGTTAATTATTATTATTATTATTATTAATATTCAGAAATCTCTGATTGTTCAACTTTCAATCAAATTCATTAACACAAATGTATATAAATGTTGGCCAAATACGCAGTCTGAATTATTTCTCACTGAATATGTATTGCAAACGTGTATTCCTTACATTCATATTATCGTTTATATTGGTTTGCATTCAAACCATTTATGCAGACAGTCGCTTGAATGCGCAACAAACAGAGCTTCTCCAACTACATCGAAAATACAGAAAGGATGTGGTCGATTGTAAAGTTGACGGACAACCACCAGCTAAATATATGTCACCATTGGTATGTCAGTATTCTGTTATCTGTTGAATGTTTGGGTGTAAATCTTATTTATAGACCTGGAATCACGAACTGGCTGAACAAGCACAAACACAGGCAAACAAATGCACCTTTGACCACGTGTTAGCTAAATCGGAGAAATTCTTTTGGGTTGGCCAAAATATAGCTTTTTACCCGACCATCAAGTCGTAAGTGACTTTGTACACATTACATCGATTTTTGATTCAGAGGTGTCGATGCGTGGTTCAATGAGCATAAGATGTACAATTACTATGCTGGGAACTGTCGACATTGTTCGCGTTACGCTCAAGTAAGTCGATTGTCATCTAATCGAAGATGAAAATTTGAGAGTGATTTGACGTTCTCTATTCACAGATATCTTAGGCAGTATGAAAGTTTCATAACAATGTAGTCATCATTTTTCACATGAAAGTCACAAAAATTATAAAATCGAAAGTTAGAGTTTCTCACACAGAAACCTACAAAGATTCAGGCTTGAATATGTGTGTTTCGTCGAGAGGACGGATCACTCAGTCGAAAACAACAAACAACAAATTACTCTCTGATCACTATGTATTATTTCTGACGAAATAATTTGAATCTCAATGGAACTGTCATCATTATTTACAAAAAGTATGTTGAAAGCTACTCGGCAGAAATTCATTGCAAATACAAGGGCAAATTGCATTGTAATGTTCTGTGAAATGCTAAAGGACGTTTGATCGTGAGGACACTTTGAAATGTTGGCATGAAACAGAATGAGTCGATGTTCTACCGAATTCCACTAGACATCCACATTATACCGAGTGTAAAGATACTCATTCAAAACACACAGAAATTTCCACCTGCATCTCTGTAATTTGAAAAAGTCGTTTGCACTAGCACAAATAATCTAAATGTACACTTTTCATTGAAACACAATAGAAATGCTTTTTAATCGATCATCCGATCTTATTGTTTCCTTGTTAATATCGCATTTCAGATGGTTTGGGCCAATACCACGGACATTGGATGTGGGGTTGCATACTGTCCACAATCCAGAAATATGTTTATCGTGTGTAACTATGGTCCAGGGTAAGTGTACGTATGTAACCTTAGAAGAGATGTTTGCTTCCAATCACTCGATTGTACTTTCTAAGCTTGTTCTAATTGGATTTCGTTTGTGTTCACTGTTTTAGCGGTAACTGGAATAGACGGAAACCGTATGAAGTGAAATCACGTGATTTATGTCATGGAGTACAAGGCTTTGGTAAACACCGTAAAAAGTCATTGCATACTAATAAACAAACGTCAACTCGCCGTCCCAAATCTCTGCGGCGTTCTCAAAAGTTCTCTAAAAAAACGTTTTCAAATAACCGTAGTCGTCGGATTGGTAATGCTCACTGATCAGCAACTAATTTGCTTTTACTCATAATTTATAACCCTTATATACTATTCAAACTATGTTGTGTTTTTCGAATTCATAATATGAGAGATGATTATCAAAATCTGTATCCGATTGTCTTTACATTATTCCGAAGTCGATTGAATTCGGTTTCTGAATAGTGATTTTTGTGTTGAATAAATCATTCTTTAAAATCGATTATCTGTTTACTTTATTCGATCAATTGAAATGTGAGTAACGTGTAGACGACAGAATTCAGCGCATTTTTAACTTCAAAATTTCTTCTTCATAGGCATGCTTTACAAAGAGTGAATTTTGAGTTTCCTAGTTAATATTCACTACTTGCAATGTGATATTTTTCGATCAGAATGAAATTTTCGGCTTCCAGTATATCAGCAAGTTTCTCAGATTCCTCGTACACACCATAACTATATGAAATAGTATGGACAATTTCTTTGTGAATCAAAATCTTTACAATAATATATGACCTGCATTCTGATGAACATAGAGTGAAGGGACGCAAATGAAGAGTCATGTCTTCGTCGCTCGCATAAATATGCTGATGTTGGTTCAAGTGTTTGCACAACACGTTACTGACAGAAACAAAATTCAAAAAAACATAGGCCAATGCACGCTATTAAATATTTTGCAACTCAGCTACATCACAGTCACGCTCTCTCCGATTGCTGGAAAAACCCTGTAGAATCATTCTCCAACCGTGTATTGATACTGATTCATCATCATACAGCATAGTCATCTTATCAAGATCCGTGAATTGCGGAGTAACCTCGATTGTGATTTTTGCTTAGGTTGACGACGAATCGAATTTGGTCCAATTTCCAGTCAATGATCTGTATTGCGAACCATTCATCTCAGTAATCAATATTTGACTGACTTCCAACTCGTATCATAAGCTATCACGATCATGTGATCATTACTAATTACAATGCAAATGTTTACAATTGAGAATGGCTTTGCATACAGAACCAGGTTTCTGTTTTTAAACGAATATTTGATATCGCCAATGATGCAATCACTAACCGAGTATTTATACGAGGGTGAATGTAGTCAAATGTGTTGCTGATGTTTTAAATGCGCGTGACTTTGATGTGTACTGTGAGAAAAATCAATCTGGCCTTCTTCATGTGTAGTTGTGCTCAATTCCACCTAAATCAATTAAGTTTATTACTTTAAAAGTCTAGGTAAAAGAGAATACTACTACTTAATATCATGAAGTAGCATGAGATGAAATTGCCAATTTCTCAATCTGCTCCGACTTGATACTGATTTCCGTTTGATTTACTGATCATGTTTGTCCGTCTTTGTATTTCTGTTCCTCTTCATTTCACTGATTCCATCGTCATTCTCGTAAACAATATTTCTAGCTTTTTAACAATGTACTTACTCGATGAGAGAGTTTGTAGTCAATTTTTCAACGTGAGATACTCAATTCCTTCTTCTAGCTGCTTACATCCTTCCATTTATCTCTCTGTCATTTAACAGTCCTGAAACAGTATTTCGTATTTTACTTGATCTGTCAACTTCTCACCTTCATTCAGCTTTAGTGTCAGGTGTTTCTGGATAATCTAGTAGCTGAATATTGCGTCAACCATAAGTGATTGTGTACTTATTGTGTGAGATTCACGATTCTCATATGGTACATTTATTAGCAGAACACTAACAAGTTTAAAACCTGTTATGACAGAATGACAAAACTAGTTGAAATTTTGACTTTTGTATTTAGGGCCTTGACATTACTTCCATTTTAATTCAGTATGATGACGACTTGACTACTTAGTGAAAAATTCATTTGATTTTCAGTGTGATATTGTGTTCAATAAGAACATTGCGTATATTTCAGTGTGATGCTTGTTTCAGATATGATGTATTCTAGGCTTAATCGATATGAACCACGTTCAGCATGACATTCCGCATGCGATTCCGTCCTACATATATGAATGCGACCTCCCTCTAATTAGTAATCAAATGGGTGAATCAGTGTATTTTTGACTAGGGTTGATGTCACGTTTTTTCGAGGGAATAGCTCTTCACGTGTAACAGTGCTTGTGTTCTGACTTCACGTTGCGCATATTTGGTTTATTTGTCTCTCTCATGCATAAGTAATAGGGTGACGCATAGAATTACCGACAAATGTGGATTAATAAAGACGCTAAAACGGCGTTTGAAAATGCCTGATATTTCAGATCAATTGCCTGTTGAAAGTGTAACAGGTAGCCATATAGCTAGAAGCTAACTAATTTTTGATGTAAATACTTTAAACAATCAGTGAAGTTTAGGAACCTACATGAGAATCATGGGAAATGGCGTTTCAGGTGCAAATGATTGTAGTTGAATGGACACTGAGTTTGTTATCAAATGAACACCTTAGATCTTCAAGTTAACTGATAATTACGTAAGATACCCCTGCGTCTCCCAAGCAAACTTACCTTCAAACTGAAGCTTGTCGCATACTACTTTTCTTGGGTTCCCCTTGCGGAGTTTCAAAGTGGAAAGCCTTCAAAACCTATGAAGCATTTAGGAAGTCGTTATCAATTTGTTCAAGTACAAAATCAATCAACGATTGTTTCATATTAATGGTTTGTGTGATTTCGGATTTCATTATTGCTGTCAGGAAAAGTGAGTTTTCAATCTTTTCATGTAGTATTTTCGCTTCGCACGTGGCCTATAATCAATCTGTGGTTAGTTCACTAGTTCTGCGTAAACTTGATCAGTGGATTATGATGGTGTAGTATGAGCTCCTTTCTCAATGAAGTGCTCAATTCAATAATAAAATTCTTATCTGTTGTAGAGGTTAGTTGGTGTAGTTGCATGATAAGAAAGCAAAGACATTCGGATTTTATAAATCTTAACAAAACCCTGCATTTTACTATTATACGAGATATTAAGGTACTTTTCCAGTAGCTGCAGACCACATATTTCTCGATAGTGTATGGTGTATGTTTCCTGTGGCTGTAGATCACATTTTTCTCGACCGTAACCTAACCATCTGATTCTTTATAATGTGCTTTGGTGAAACACGTCTAGGCTTTTGGGTGACTTTGTGATGGAATATGGTTTTACCAACAACCACTTTTTCAAGGGTGCAGAAATTTGAAAAGTTCTCACTATCTTTGTTACTTTCTCCTAGTTTTTGCGAACCGACAATATTTTTATGCACGTTGTTGTCCATTTCAACCTTGGCTTTACCGTCTTCTGTGGGATGGTCAGGTACTTTTCAAGCCACTTCTCTACAATTGACCGCATCCTCTTATGACACTCATTGTGGTCGTTTTCGTTGTTGTCGTGGGTGGAACAATTACATTCATTGGTAATCCCTCTTTTTTTTATGTTATAGGATGATTTGATATTTCTGTGTCCATGAGATTCACGGCCTTTGAATGTTTTGTGTGCCTCTTTCGACAATATCAGTACAACTAATCTTCGGCTCTAGTTGTTCTCTTCTTCATGCTCCGAGTACAACAATGTCTCTCCTGAAACTGATTTCTTCTGTCAAGCTTGCTCACTCTGGTCTTTTAACAATTGTTTTTCTTACACTATGATCAAACCTCCGACTTTCTCCAGCCTGGAACATGCATCAATGATAAACATATAGGGTTGGATGAATATGCGAAATTATTGATTGGTAAACATTTCCACAACTGATAAACATCTTGCTCTCAAAACAAATCTCAACTTACAGCAACTTCAAAATATTCAATGCAAATGTTATCACATACTTCTGCTTTATGGTACTGAAATTTGAAGAGCTACTGTTAGTGGGACATAGATGGATTTAACGCATGATTACGTCACTACGCGCTGATTGGCTAATTTCCTATCCAATTAGCGCCTGATCGAAGCTTGGAGAACAGGATAGAAAATTCTCGTATTAGTAGCTGCATGCTGATTGGTCAAATCCAGTCCAGTCGATCACGTGAATTTCCTTCCAGAAGTTTTCTCATGCAAAGGCTATAAATAGACTAGTATTGTATTTATCTCTGCCTTCTAGCCTTCTAGCCTTCTAGCCTTCAAGCCTTCTTCGCTTCAAGCCTTTTTGCCTTGGTTTTCGCCATCACCTCCAGCTTCTTTTCCTTGCTATTTTGGAATACAATCCTTCCTGTTCAACCGTGTTCTGATTTGTGTTACTTGTCCAGTGTCTTGTGTCAAGAATACTAAGCAATAAGATTTAGCCGGGAAATATCGTAAGCAACCGTTACAACAGCTACGAAAGAAGAAGATCAAAGATTTCATTTTAACGGGAATCGAAGAATATGAATATTCAGCGACATGCAGCAACTGGAAAAGAAAGCCCAGAACATAGTTGGTTGAAGAATCCAGGTTGATTGATGATCGTTGGTTTAAATGTGGCAACAGATGTAAGCAATAACTAAGTGAAACAGTACAATACACTGAATAAATACATCAAATTGCATTCCTGTTACATATTCCCAAGTTTTTATTTGTATTCTATTTTTTTTACATTATTTTAATTCTTTAGTCAAACTTGTATAAAATGAAAACTTGAAGGTCAAAGTTATTTCCCTGAAACTCTGGAATAACAAAATACTTTCAATATTATATAGTAATTAAACAGATAAACAGTGACTAAAGTAGCATCATAACTCGAATTCGTTTTATTTCATGATTTCTCATCAATTGTGTTTTGTGGATATGGCTTTTTTCCCGTCGCCACTTTTATGTTTGGTACTTGATGTAACGTCAACCACCGTACTAATGACACCCGAACGTTAGACCCCTCCGTTCAAAGAAAGAAGACGGAAGACGTTGTAGAACACTTCTTGTCAGAATCAAAAATATACAATCAAACATGCGTATTTATACAATTATATAAAAGTCGTTAATTATTTGAACATGCTTCAAATAGTTCGTCAGGAACGATAATCATATAGTTCATCATAAATGAAATAGTTTATCATGAACATTAATCATATAATTCATCATTAATGAAATAGTTTATTATGAACATTAATCATATAGTTCA